TCGCGGATGTCAAACACTGATCGATCTGCGCCTTACTGACGTTGATGAGATTAACCCCTTAGGTATCGAAATTTGGTACCGACCGAACGACCGTTTTTCGATTCTCGATGGTATCGAGGCAATTCGGTCGGTGCCTAAAAAGTATCGAACTCGATACCCAGCCCTAGCTACTTGTAGGGAACTTCTCCAGGGGAAACAGTGTAAAGACATGACAGCCTTCATGCAGAGATCTACTTCAAAAGCCTTGTCTGTGACTAAAACTTTTGTAATTACGGAGTCACGAGTTCAATTCATCCATTTCCAGGATGGCCGCTGTGTTACTCCCTTTTCAGTTTTTCCACACTGTGGCCAAGTGATTTGTTGTCACATGTGATCTATGCTAACGCTCAGCTATCAACCAAACCACATCATTTCCAGGGAAGATCTACTCAATCAGATACAGATACATACACTATATAACAAATATTAACACCTCTTTATACACAGTGCAGCTCAGCAGATGCAACATTTCAGCAACAGGATTTGTAAACAGATTCTGTTAGGATATGTTAGGTATTCTAAAAGCAAAGCACATAACCCCATGTGTCTGGTATTCATAAAAACAAAGAAACTGACTACTGAAAAATATTGACATTGAACACTTTCACAATTTGAACTAAAGCACCTGCCTTCAATCAATTCTTAACTAATAAAAGCTACTAATACTAGCTGACCCCAAAACTTATCTTGCAGCTCTTAAATAAATATGTCCCAATATAACAAACATATACTTCTAAAACTAAATTGATTTTTCAGCTCAAGATGTGCGTAATGAGTTTACTTTCCCGCACTCTGGAGCTTTAGTCATGTCACAACAAGCTCAATGTCACCAAATATGTTTCACAATAAAAAAATGTTGATCATTTGAAACGGTTGCCACAATAAAATTCTTACAGAGGACAATGTTACATTTCTCTGATATGACTGAATCTTGAAAATGTTACAATAACTTGGCTGCCCTTAGAGCAATAATTCACCCCCCAAATTTTTTTTTTTAAATGTCATCATTGACCCACTCTCATCTCCTATCAAACCTGCACAACTTTCTTCCATAAAAAAGAATGATGATAGTCACCATTCACTTTCAATGTACAAAAAAAAGCAATGAAAATGAATGGAAACCGAGACTGTCAACTTCTTTCTGCTCCACAGCAGAAAAAAATCCTTGTTTGAAACAGGATACTGACACATCACTTCCTGTTTGTTGCTGCCGTGTGTTTTGAGTTTGAGCTCCGTCAAGTTAATTCTTTGTCGTCTAATTTTTTATCTTAAAATCAATTTTATACACCATTTTCGTTTCTATAACGTGTGAATATATCCCCTATCGTATTCTACAACAAAAACAATCAGAGCGCCTTGTTATCACTAGTTCTATTTTGACTTCCCGAGTCTGCTATTAGCATATAGCCCGCTAGCATCGCCAGCGTGATTGCCGCTAATCTCGCTTACATTACTAATACTCTATTCACACACATTACCATTGTTTTAATCACTGTTACTTGCTTTAATGAAAGGGCTCCCTATAGTTTTAAGCATAAGCTGAGGTAGATTTTTATCACTAAGAAAATTTAAACTATAACTGAATGTATTTAAAGAAAGAGCAACTTGATCAGTAAACAATAATAAAAAAAAAAAGTTTAGTTTTTCCCCCTGCTGTACCGAAATCATACCGACCCGTGACGTTAAAACCGAGGTATGTACCGAACTGTCATATTTGTGTACCGTTACACCCCTTACTACCTAGACAGCATTTTAGGCATGAAAAAAAACTATCTATATGAGATGGTCAAAATAGAACGTTCCAGAAGCGTCTATGATAACCAAAAATGCTGTATGTAGGCAGCTCAATAGGTTTTGCGACACAGCCACTGACACTCTGGCTTTGCAGTGTGTTTGGCTCAGCAACTTCATATGAGGCAACCGACAATTTAAAGATTAGATAAATTAAAGGCACAGTCCCCGAACACAAAGGCGCCATTTACAATCCTAATGTTGTAAACAAGCTGTTTTGTGTAATATCTTCTCAGGCTGAAGCTGTCTGACTGGTTGCTCGTTAGCTGCATAGCTAGAAGGTCATTCGCAGTCGACTGAGAGAAATAAGCCTCCCGAATGAGCGCGTGCTCTATAAATTACCTTGTCACTGATGTTTTCAGTGCCGTCAGGATCTCCTCCTCCTCCTCGCCGTCTCAGCTCCGTCATTTTTTGCTTATTTCAGTCTAAATAATGCATAGATATCGTCGCAAGTCCGCGTTAAAATGAAGCAGAGCGGAGTTCGCGTCCTTCTCGGTAATCCGGTTAATTTAACCTACTGCGACCATCAAAGTGTCTCCCGCGGCAGGTGGAAGGATAGAGCCTGCGTGTATTTGTGTATGCCCGCAGATCTGCTGCTGTTTTGTTTGTTAAGTGAGAGAACTCTCTCTCTCTCTCTCTCTCCCTCTCCCAGTGACTCAACATAAAACACTGCTCCACTCTGCGGCTGGAGCTCAGCGCAATTCACTCCTCAAACTCTCTCGACAGTCCAAACGTGAATGTTTCTTCTTGTCAAGTCATCATGATGATAAACTGAGTTTATTAGTAGGTATATTGCGAAGTCATATAAACCATTTTTAGTTCTGGAAAGACATTCCTTGTAGCTTACATGCTATCCTTCACCCAAAAATGAAATTTGTCATTATTTACTTACTCACCCTCATGTCGTTCCAAACCTGTATATTTTTGTCCCCGTTTTGTGAGTGGGGGTTCAATCTTCAACTGGCTGGCAGGAGCCGCCACTGACAGGTCATGTGACCTGCCAGTGGCTGGTGGCAGCTGCCAGTCTGATTCACTGGCTGGTGGCAGCTTCAGGCAGCCGCTGTAGATCTGCGAGTAGAACGCCTACCCTATCACTCTCCCTGCAAGGAAATACACTATTTTATTATGAATATATTTTTATGACTCTGTTTTTTTGGATGATTGACCTTTTAGGTTTTTTTCCCCAACTAAAGCAGTCAAATGAACGTGATCACGGCTGGTTGCTTACTGATGCTTTGTTGGACGCTCAACCAGCCAGCCTCTGCTGCCTCTCATTCCAAGGAAATCATTCTGATTTTATTTTTGTTATTTCTACATTGTTTTTGTAAACAACTTTGAGTCAATTAATATATTATTTGCGTTCATGTCCTCCTATAACAGTTTCCTCCAGTCAGACTTTTTAAGCTTTTTAAGCTACTATGCGTTCCCCACCACTCCTGCTGCAAGGAAATGCATAATTTTATTATTGTGAATATAGTGAATATATTGTAATGAGGTTTAATTAGTAGTCTAATGGCCGTGATCCCGGTTGGTGGGTTACTGCCGCTTCCGTCCAGCCAGCTGCCAGTTTAACGACTCTTACTGCAATGAAATTCATTGTTTTATTATTATTAATGTATTCTTATGAATGTATTCTTTTATATCATAGGCGTATAAGGGAGGTTTATCCTGAATAAAGGAGACAAATGGCCGTAATCCCGACTGGTGGGTCTGACGCTTCTCTGGCCGCTCAGTCCAGCCAGTGGCAATTGAGCTCTAATTTTGACGCGTTCTCTACCACTCTAGCTGCAAGGAAATGCATTACTATTATTATTATTATAAATATATTCTCATTAATCTATTCTTTAAGATCATATACGGTTTAGGGGGTTTTATCCTGATTTAAGTGTTCAAATGATCGTGATCCCGACTGGTGGGTTGCCTACTCTTCAGTCTAGCCAGCTGCTATTGAGCTGCGAGTTTAACGCGTTCCATATGACTCTCACTACAATTTAATTCATTGTTTTATTATTATTAATGCATTCGTGTGAATCTATTATTTTATATGATTGACGTTTAAGGAAGATTCATCCCGATTAAAGCCGTCAAATTGCCGTGATCCCGACTGGTGGGTTACTGACGCTTCGCTGGACGCTCATCCAGCCAGTCACTCTTAAACTTAAAGATTAACGCGTTCTACCACTCCCGTTGCAAGAAAATAAATTATTTTATTATTATGTATAGGCTATATTCATATGAATCTATCATTTTATATGATATACGTTTTAGGGAGGTTTATCCCGATTAAAGTGGTCAAATAACTGTTATCCCGACTGGTGGGTTACTGACACTTTAGTCTAGCCAGCCGCTATGAAGCTGCCAGTATAACACGTTCTCTACCACTCTCTCTGCAAGGAAATATATTATTTTATGATTATGAATTCATTCTTATGGGTCTGTTCTTTTACATGATCGACATTTTAGGGAGGTTTATCACAAATAAAGTGTTCAAATGGCCGTGATCCAGACTGGCAGGTTATTGCCGCTTGCACTGGCTGCTCAATCGGCCAGCCGCAAGAGCGCTCCGAGTTTAACGCGTTCCCTACCACTGTCTCTGCAATTAACTATATTATTTTATGATTATTATATATTATTATAAGTCTAGTCTTTTAAACTGTGGACATTTTAGGGAGGTTTATCACAAATAAAGTGTTCAAATGACCGTGATCCGGACTGGTGGGTTACTGCCGCTTCAGTGCAGCCAGTCACTTTCAGCTCCGAATTGAACGGGTTCCATATCACTCCATAAAACATCGAATATGTAAAAGAATAAAGTCATATGAACAGATGTACAATAAAAAATAATATTATTATTCCCGTATAGAGTGGAAGGAGAGCAACATAAATCTGCCATAAATCAATGGTTCCTGACAGTGGACTTGCAGCCGCCAGGCAGTAGAAAGTTGTATAAAACAGTTCAGTCAAGCATTAAAGAATGTTTTTTCATCAAAAACATTGTACAAACTGTTCAATGTAAAGCACACAAATTCACATGGCTACAATGTTTAAAGGAATAGTTCACCCAAAAATGAACGTTGTCATCATTTACATACCCTCATGTTATTCCAAACCTGTATGAGTTTCTTTCTTCAGCTGAACACAGAAGATGATATTTTGAAGAATGTTGGTAACCAAACAGTTGATAGTAGTAATCCGTTTGACTAAACTTTATATATTCTAAATAAACTTACAAAGATGTTTAGAATGTAGCAAAATTGTGTTTTGAGTTACAACATGTAGTCTGATGAAAATAAAAATGTCCTTAAAAAAGGACAATATTTTTCTTTTGGAAAAGTTGTGTTCATATACCATGTTACATCTTAAACAATAAAATGCATCTTCTCTTTCAGTTGTACCTCTTCATCTTCTTGTGCTTTCTCCACTGCTTCACTTTGCACCCTGTCATCCACTTTCTCTCCTGTCCGGACTCCAGACCTCCCATGTCTCCTTAAGTGACGTGCAAACCTGTTTTGGTCTGAAACTTTCACTTAATTGTGGCCCAAAAGATGGAAACCTTTCAGCAGTATCTCATGCTGATAGAAGACCCTAACAAAAATGAACCATGGTTTTACTACTTTTACTACAATTCAGAAGACCCTAACAAAAATGAACCATGGTTTTACCACAATTAAAATATGTCAGTGCCATTGGTTTTTCTCAAGATGCACAGCAGTTTGGTGTTTTTTTTTTAAATAAAAGCTGCTTACGTAACCTAATTTTAACTAAGGCCTACTCCTGGCTTAAGCTAAGCCCTGTCTGTGAAACAGGACCAAAAAGTTCGTACTTCATAACGTCATAAGACTCATAAGACCAGGAAATTTCAAAACAAAATTGCAAACCATGGGACTCACCTGGTTGAAAATGCAGAGAACGCAGAGAACACAACTTAGAGATGTTGCTATAACTTATGTCTTTTCGTCTTGTTGCCGCAATCCACGCCATGCGACGTCTTCTCGTAACCTCCTCAACATGTTTTCCTTCGCGTTGTTTACAAGTTGGAAAAAACTTATCCGATTGTTCAGTTTTTTCCTGAACGACTGTGTGACTTGCTATTGCAGTTTTTAATGCAGCAGGAATTACCAACCATAGCGCTATTTTCCAAAATCGCAAAAGAAAGTCAAAACACCGCATCAAACACACTAGCAGAAAATAAGCGCGATCCTTTCAATATGGCGTCTACCAACAAGGTTACCCAGAATTCAACGCGACGTGACGTCACATTCGTATTCTCTATTAAATTAACTAAAAGTAAAACCATTAAAAAGATTTCAGTATATGAAATAAAATAAAATGTAACTTAAAATAAAATTATTTTTTTCAGCTAGTTGTTAAGGCAATATTTTTCATTTTTCTACTAGTTTAGTTTAGTTCATATGGTTTAACTTGATGTAAAAAAAAAACTGAAACTAAAAACAAAATGGGTTATATAAAAACTAAAACTGAAAAAAAATAAATAATAAAAACTATATAGACATATTTAAAGGGGTCATATGATGCGATTTCATTTTTTCCTTTCTCTTTGGAGTG